ACTTTGAGGAAGAAAAAAATATACATTTTCTAAAGGGGTAGCACCATGTTACATCTCACAAGCCTTATATCAGGGTGCCAATTTCTCTACATCCTTGACAACAACACTTCTTTGTCCAATCTTTTTATAGCCAGCCTAGTGCACATAAAGTGATACTTTCTTGCAGTTTTAATTTTTTAATCTTTATTTATTTATTTTTATGTGGTGCTGAGGTTGGAACCCAGGGCCTCATGTGTGTGAGGCAAGCACTCTACCACTGAGCCACAACCCTAGCCCTCTTGCAGTTTTAATTTGTATTCCCCTTATTATTAATGATACTGAGCACATTTTCATAGGCTCATTGGCATTTTTATATTTCTTGGATTAACATCTGTTTCAATACTTTACCCACTTTAAATTGTGTTGTCTGTGTTTTAGTTGTAAGTGTTCTTGGTATATTCTAGTTGCAAATCTCCTATCAGGTACAGGATTTGCAAATTTTTGTTTCCCATTGTGTGAGTTGTCTTCTAATTTCTTTTCACTTTTTAATTTTTTAAACATTTTATTAGTATTTTAATTAGAATGCATTAACTATAAATATTAATGATGTTCAGTGTGATATTTCAACACATGTAAACAGTGTCAACTAATCAAATCCAGCCACTCATTATGTCATCTTCCCTCCTCGTTCCTAATCTCTTTATAGTGTCCTTTGAAGCAGAAAAGTTTTGAATTTTTGAATTCTAAATTTAAGCATAAATTTATTTTTCTTCTTTTTCTTGTGCTTTTGGTATTATAGCTAAGAAACTATTACCTAATCCAAGGTCATAAATATTTACACTTATATTTTCTTAGAAGAAAACAATTAAAAATTACAGAATTTTTTAATGTTTCTTATTAGAAAAGCTTTATAATCCAGAAATAAGGGTGTTTCTTGTACTATTTAATTTATATGGAGTTCAAGTTCAGGTAAAAATAATCATAGTGACAGAAACCCAGAGGAGTGATTACCTGGAGAATGGGGTTGACTGGAAAAGGGGCTTGAGGGTGGCTGGCTGAGATAATGAAAAGGTTCTGTATCTTTATCTATGTAGTGTTTCCATGAGTATATGCATATGTAAAATTTTATCAGTTTGCTTCATATTTTATGGATATATGTGGTACATTAATAAAAAACAGTCCCAGTATGTGACCTACATGAGGTTTCTAGAGCACTTCCACATTACCCGTGATGTCCAAACTACTCTTAAACATTACACAGGTAAGATAGAAATATCCCCATTTTATGGATGAAGAAATTGATTGAGCTTCCCAAACTTCCGTGGGGAATTTCTGTTGAGGATAGAGTTGGAATTCCTATCATAAACCATAGACTTTTGTCCACTGCAACTATCTGGGCTTTGTTCATTATCTATACATTTCCTTTGTCTGTTCTTTTCTTGAGTTGTTGGCACGTTAGAGGCAGTTTTTCAGGATGTAACCTGCAAACAGTACAGTTAAGTGAGTGGAAGTCTTCACAGAAGAACTCTAGAATGTATCATACTCAAAGGGAGGAGAAAATTGATGCCTGACCCTTACCTTATTTCCCTGCCCCACACTAATGTAGTGATAGAAATAATAGGAGAACAAAATCAGATGTCAGAGTTGGAGTGAAAAAAAAATTTTGAGCCTCAGATTGTAGAAGTGGGAGGGATTGTTCTGTTGAAAATGATCCGCTGTTCAACAGAGTCTCTAATGACATCCTCACTTATCCATAAATCAAATTTTATTTCTTTTGCACTTTCATTTCAAAGGCAATTGTCTCAGAAAGGTTTTCAAACTTTTTTCAACCAAGTTCACCCTGTACAAAATATCTTGATCAAAAATATCCAGCAAATACTGAGAACAATGTTCCTTTTAGTCAAAGTGACTTAGGTAACTGAAGGTATTATGGGGAATCTTGTCCTTAAGCTTTAAGTCACTAATGGCAGCAGTTAGTAAGGAGGGAGATGCTGTAATGACACTAGTGTCTTAGGCATGGTCTTCATGCTCCAGCTTCGTGCTTTGTGCTGGGGTGGGTCAATGTAAAAGAAAGAGACCTGTTTCCCTTTTCTTCCCTACAAATCTGAAGAGAGGCCAGTGTACATTGCTCATAGTGTAACCCCACCCTTCTGAAGGGGATGGGGAAAAGGGCCCTTCTAAACCAGGGAGGATTGGGAAGAGAACCTACTAATTATCAATTGTCTCATAAGCACCAAGCCCTATACTAGGGCCTTTAACATGCATTATTGCATTTAATCCTCTAAAATAATCTATAAGGAAGGTATTATTTTATTTTATTTTTTACCTTTTGAAATTCTTTTTTTTATTTGTGGAAACTATTATTTTAAATTGCCATTTTTACAGATGAAGAAACTGATGCCATGAAAGACGGAACCATTTTTTGAGGACACATGACAACTAAATTGTAGAGTTGGAATTCAAACACAAGTCCGCATGTCACTAATTCAGATCTTTGCTTTTTTCTTTTGATAGAATTATTAATCATTGTTTGAAAATGATTAATTTTCAAATTATCTGTGAGAAAAATAATATAGGTGACTAAACACATGTGCATCTTTTACCATAGTCCTAGAAACAAAGCACATTGACAAGCTAACAAATAATAAGGACTGTTGAGGTACCACTCTTTCAGGTACTGGACATGAAATGGTCTCTACTCTGGGAATTTTATAGGTCTGTCTACAATGCCAACTTAGAAGTTTCTGGGATTTAGCTGCATCTTTGGTGATACTTTAGAAGAATACCTACCTACAGATACATGAGCAGCTGATTTTTCAAAACCTACTTATTCTTTGTTCTTTTTCTTAAAATGAAAAGGCAGTTACATTTGTTGCAAGATACTGCTGACCACTGGGGAAAACTTGATATAAAGTCTCACATTGTCCCAGGATAGTGAAATTTAACCCTTATTAAGTAGTTTTACCCATATACTAACTTCTTCAGAATTGTCCAAGATCCATGTGATTTTATTCTCTTTAATAAAGGCAATTTCTTAAGCTTCTAACACAAGACAAATTAATTTATATGGTTTGAATTAATTGTTTGACAAAAAGGAGAGGGAAATAAGTCTTATTATTTATTCCCTAATTCCTTTGGGGATTTGGCAATAGGCCTACTTTGCCTAGGGAGAATCCCAAAACCAGGGTTATAGGGCTGTGTTAAGGTTCATGTTTATTAGGTAGGTAGGTCTCTTGAAACCAAACCAATAGTTTGCCCCAGACATTCCAAGGCCAGCAGCAGCTACCATGAAGATTTCAGATGCCTGTTTTGAGAGCTTATCTCAAAAAGTGGGTTGTTTTGGGGGCTCCTGCCAATATTTTCCTGATTTTCTGGACAAGAAAAGGATACAGGAGAGATTTCCAGACCAGTATGATGGCTTTATTCCCATGGTGCTGAAATACCTTGTCATAAGACTATATGAGACCAATGATGATTTTTGTGCTCAATGAGAAAGGTGGGTAGTAAGGAGAGGGGAGCTTGCCTCCAGAGGCTAACACTATGGGCAAAGTTATCAAACAAAAACAGGAGAGGATATCTTGTGCAAAAATGGATTGGATTTTGTAGGCCAATTCCCTCTAAATGAAATAGTGGGAAAGAATAGCTCACTCTACATAGAGAAAAGTTTTACTGAAGCAAAAATGTTAGTCAGGATGTCTTACCCCTCCTCCATTGAAGACTCTTAGAGGAGTGTTGGCCTTTTTTAGGTACACATGTGCTGTCTTTTCTGATGAAGTACAAATTCAGGACTTTCAGTATTTGAGAAACCACCTGAAATTCACCATGGTATTCAATGAGTGCACAAAGGGACCTGAGAACACCTTGATCTTTAAGAAGGAAAATCCTCATTTATCAATAGTTTTACCCACATTCATTAAAATTCCTCTTTGTAGAAGATTACCTGTCTGAATACTTACCTGTGTCTTATTTTGTATAGTTCTTTAAGGCCTTCAGGATATTTTGATGACCCTGAGCTCATTTAATCCCCTCAAGAGATATTTAATTGAGGTAAGGAATATACTGTGCCTTTTACTCAGATTAAGTAACTGAGGCCAGAAAAGATGAAATAATTCATTCAGATTATAGGTCGAAATGAAAGAGTCAAGTATGTTGATCGACCTTTTCACCTTGCTTGGGAATCTCCGTTTTAGTGCTAAATAAATTTAGCCCATGTCCTGGGAAACCTCTTAGTTCTGGGTAAACAAGGGTTATCCTTATCCTATAGACAAGATTAGAATCCATACATGTCAAATGTAAGTACAATTCAAGTGCTATTGCCCCAGGCCATCTCTCATCTCTCTTCTAACATATTTCTGTTAAAATAATGTTCTGTTCTCTCTACACCTTAGTACACAAGGATATTTGCATGATGGGTCATCTTCCCCTCCCTTTCTACCTAGGACAGGAGCAATGGCAGCTAATGGTCCTCAGAAGAACTGAAGACACTGTTGGCAAAGGAGGATCATGTTTTAGGATTGCCATCCATAAAATAAAGATGACAATCCTTATACTGATTCACTCACAGGGATTAATGTACAGATTAAATAATAAAGTATAATAATAACAGATGTAAACACTTTCCATACTATTAAAACACACATCATAGATTACAGTGCTTATGTCCCCCTGCCCAGACATAAGCCCACTACTTGTGTTATTCTATTTATCAGTTCAGTTCTTGGTAACATCACAACTGTGAAACTCTGGGAAAGTTCTTTGGCCTCTGTGCCTCAATTTTCTCATCTGAAAAATAGAGAAAATAATGATCTCTTATACAATTACTTAAGAATTGAGCTATTACATATAAAGCATTTAGAAGATTTAGAGCTATATAAGCATTAGATGTTTTGTGCTGGCCTTCTTAGCCCCTCTAACTAAGAACATGAGATTAGATAACCCAGAAGTCAAGCATCATGGAAGCCACAACTTATCTTGCTATTCCTTCCCATTATCTTCCTAGTTCTTGTGTTCTGTACCTACAGCCTTCTTACCATGGATTGCCAAGAAAATGAGTACCAGGACCAATGGGGACGGTGTGTCACATGCCAACAGTGTGGTCCTGGACAAGAGCTCTCCAAGGTAAGTCCTCCAAATTAGTATACTGTTTTTTGACATCTTAGTAATCAGTCTCTCAACTTAGAGGGACCAAGATTAGGAGAGTCATTCCCAGCTATGACTGATCCAGTTCAGCAGATAAGACATGGAATCCAGAGAGTATGCATTAGTAGTCATTGTTTAGCAGGAAGTTAGCTAGAGGATCAGGTTACATGAGATAACAAGGTATATCTCAACATGAGATATGGAATGCAGAGGCTCAGGAGGATCCTTAAGCATTAGAGAAATCTGTCAACTAAAGATAGAACTACCTACTTGGTATTTAGGAGCCAGATATTAGGTCTTGGGGATGGAAGTAGAAAGAAGAACCACAAAGGCTAAAGTGTATCCTCTGTCTAGAGGGTCTGGGTTACTGAGAAGGCTACACAAAAGAGGATTCAGGATTGAGGAACCAGAAAAACTCTAGCATTCCAAATAGAGGTAAGATCAGAACAAAATGGCCAGCAAAGCAGAGATGATAAGTGCAAGGATCGAGTTGCTCAATTGTTCCTGCTGTAGGTCTCTTGTTGGTACCTGAACTAGGGGTGATATTAAATTTGGGCTTCAGCTAGAGACTGGGAGAAAATAGCCAGCAGTTTTTCTAGACTCACATTTTGTTTTATGCAAACATGGTTGTTGGCACCATGGATATGTACAATAGACAAATGTGTTTTCTCTCATGAACCTTGGATTTGTATTAGTGATACAAATAAAATTGAGATACATATATAGATAAATAAAGAATATAGACCTGAATCTATGGCAAGAATTAAAGTAGGATGATTTAATACTGAGTGACTAGGTGGCCAGGGAAGGACTCCCTAAGCCTATGCTTTCTGGTAAGAGGATATGGCTAGTGTAGTCCTAAGATGAAAATGAACAGGGTATGTTCAGGGAAGAAGGTTTATGCATCCATTGTATGGTGAGTGAGAGGGACAGTTGTATATAGTGAGAGAGGGGGACATATTAGTGAGAACATGTGGGGACCTGAAGTCTATGATGAGAAATTATCTTTTTTCCTAAGTGCACTAAGAACGCTTTGGAGGGTTCTGAATAGGAGAGTAGCATCATCCTATGTCTGAAAGAAAATAAAGTGATTATATAGCCCACATTCTTCCAACCTCTGTACTTAAAAAAAATGAAGAGAATAAGGCCCAGGTATATCAAGGGTATAAACATTAATTCTAACTTTATTTATTTTTATTATTAGAGATTTCCAGTTAAACACATTAGTTTGGTTCATTTTTACAAAATCATATATGTAAGGTTTTTTTTATTTCAATCCCTATTCCATACTATATTTCCTTCTCCTCCTCCCTACCCCTACTGTATTTCCTCTGCTCTAACAAACTTCCTTTCACTCATTTTTTTATTGATACTTTCTACATATATGTAAAGGTGAAATTCTCTTTGGTACATTTATGTATGTATAAAATGTAATTTTGTTAAAATCATTCGATATTTCCACCACTTTCCTTTTCTTCCTCCTTCCCTCTCTTTACATATAAGATTGTATCCCACAGTGGATGCCCCCATAGTCAATAAAGGGATTCAAGGACCAAGGAAAGTCCACCAGAAGTTAGGACATGCTGGATATTAGAATGGATTCAATGGAAGAAGCTGCTTGCCTTGACAAAAATCTATTTCAAATACCTTCAAAAACTCATGATAAAAAGCCTTACAAATTTTGATGTCATGTACATGACCATTAATTTAAAAGCCATCCATATTTACAAAGCTGAACTTCTTTAAGGGAAAAAATATATCTGTCAAACTGCTCTTACCAAGCGCTTAGAAAAGAAGCCCACCATGAAATGTACATTTGATTCAGCACCTCTATGACATTTACTTCAGCAGCACAAGAAAGCTTATAGAAGAAGAATGAATTGTAATTTAAATACTCCACTAAAAGCTTTATATATAAATAGCTTCTACCTATCTAGTAGTTTGTACTGTCTAAGGAGCTCTCATGTGCATTACCTTATTTGCTTTTACAACAGTCCAATCAAGAAGGTATTATGAGCCCCATTTTATAGATGAGACCACCAACATTCAAAGAGGTTGTGTGACTTGTCCAAAATCACAATGGTACAGCAAAAATAAAAATATAAACTTTGGAGCCAGATACACCTGAGCTTGAGTCCCATCTTTGCTGTGGGCAAATGATTTTGCCTATGAACAAAATAGGGTGTTCTAAGTTGAAATAATATATTTATCAAAAGAAGACTTACAAATGGACAATAGATATATAAAAATGCTCAACATAGGCTGTAGTTGGAGCTCAGTGATAGAGCACTTGCCTTTCAAGTGTGAGGCACTGGGTTTGATCCTAGGACCACATAAAAACAAATAAAGGCATTGAGTGCATATATACAACTAATTTTTTTAAAGGCTCAACATCACTAATCATTAGGGAAATGTAAATCAAAAATATGGTGAGATACACTATCTCAGTAAGAATGGCTATTATCAAAATGACTCAAGAAGCTGGGCATGGTGGTGCACGGTTGTAATTCCCCAACTCTGGAGGCTGAGGCAGGAGGATCATGAGTTCAAAGCCAGCCTCAGCAACTTAGCGAGGCCCTTAGCAATTCAGCGAGTTCCTGTCTCTAAAATGAAATACAAAATAAGGCTGGGGATGTGACCCAGTGGTTAAGTGCCCTTGGGTTCAATCCCTGGTACCCCCCCCCCCCCAAAAAAAAAGACTCAAGATAGAAAGTGCTGGCAATAATGTGAAGAAAAGAGGACCTTGCACACTGCTGTTAGGAATGTATATTAGTACAGTTTGAAATTTCTCACAAATGGAAAAATAGAACTAGCATATCATCCAACTACTGGCTATATATCCAAAAGAAATAAAATCAGTATGGTGAAAAGGCATCTGCACTTCAGTGTTTACTGTAGCACTATGCACAATAGACAAGAAATTGGAAACAACCTAAGTGTCCATCATCTGATGACCAGATAAAGAAAACATGCTACATATAAAAAATAGAATACTATTAGACAATAAAAAAGAATGAAGCCAGGCATGGTGGTGCACACCTGTAATCCCAGCAATTTGAGAAGCTGAAGCAGGAGGATTACAAGTTCAAAGCCAGCCTCAGCAACTTAATGAGGCCCTAAGTAACCCAGTGAGACCTTGTCTCTAAATAAAATTTAAAAAAGGGCTAGGGATGTAGCTCAGTGTTTGAGTGCCCCTGAGTTCAATCCCTAGTGCCTATATATATATATATATATATATATATATATATATATAATCCTTTCATTTGTGTCAACATGGATGGACCTGGAGATAATTGTGTCATGTGAAATAAGTCAGGCACAGAAACACACTACCACTTGATCTCACTCATATGTGAAAATTTTTTTATCTAAAAAATTTGATCTCATAGAAACTGATAGTAGAATGGTGGTTACCAGAAACTGGGGAAAATAGGAAAAGGGAGGGAAGCGGAAAGGTTGACCAATGGTTGTTTGCTAAGTTACAGTTAGATAAGAGCAAGAAGTTCTGCTGTGCTATTGTGCAGTAAATGATTATAGATAATAATATATTGTACACTTCAAAAGCTAGAATAAAGGATTTTGAATGTTTTCATCATAAAGAAGTGATAAATGTTTGAGGAGATACATATGTTTAATGGATTTAAACAGTATACAATGTATCAGACAATAGTGTGTTACCCCATTAATATGTACAATGTTTATATTTTATGTGCTATTCAAAAATGAACTTAATGAGAAAAATTGGAAACAAACTTTTTATCAATATTTTTACCAATATTTTTATCAATATATTTAGAGTGAAAAAATATGACATAAAGCTTCACACAATCTTAAAATAAGCACATATGTAGGTAGTCTGGAGACAGGCATCCTTTTGGTTTGTTGGGCAGATCAACCATGTTATCAAGGATTCAGTCTCTTTTCATTCATATTGGGTACCTTCCTGTTTTGTCCTTATGTTTGTGACATCATGGTTGCCACAACTCAAAGCATAACATCTTCACACCATAATCAAAGTCAGGAAGCAGGGATGGGGGGTCAAAATAGCTTGCCTTTATTTTCTGATTTCCCATTTTATCTTATGGTCCAGACCTTGGTGATACAGCTATCCCTAGCTAGAAGCCAAGACTGGGAAATGAGTATCAGTCCAACAAGAATGGGATAACCATGATTGACGAAGAAAGTTAAAAATTCCTTATTGAGGCTGGTCATCCTGCTATTTAGCATGAAATTGTTGTTCTGTTACGAAGGAGGAAGGTGACCAATGATATTTGGATAAATAGCTAGAAGCATCTGAGATGAAGTTTTTTTCAGATACCTTTATTTATTTTAATATTTCACTTATGAATTATAAATATCACAGTAAATAAATCATTTCAGAAAATTAACACTGTCTCCTCAGGACATTTTCTAGAAGTTTAATTTCCAAGCTAAATACAATTTTAAGATTTTTGAGATATATTAGCAGATAACACTTCTGAAGTTTTTTACTAATTTCCATTACAATTGCATTTATTTTCAACAGTGCATAGAATTCCCACGTCCCAGAAGCCTAACCACAAATGAATAATGCATGTTCCCATTGTCTATTAATTTTATGCCTTCCTCTGTAATATTAAATTACTAATTTATGAGGACTTTATGAGAATTTTGTTTTTACTTTTTATATTTGATAGGGAAATATCCCAACATTTTTTGTTTGTTTGTCCATTTGCATTTCCAATTTTGTGAACTGTTTCTGATTGCTTCTTTTTCTATTCTGAATATTCATTGCTTATTGTTCATTCCCTACTCATGTAAGGCACCTGAATAGACAGACATATTGCAGAGTATTTTTAAAGTCCTTTTTATAATATAAATATGAATATATTTAAAATCAGAAATGATTTTGAATTTTGTTTCATTCTACCATTATCTATGGATTTTTAATATAATTTTCCCTTTGTCATTTTAGATAACATAAAAATCAATACCCAAAA